AAAAATATTATAGATACGAACAAGAAGTTTACTATTCTAACACAAGGGAGTATAAAAAGGAAGAGACGATCGCCGAAGTGGAGTAGAAATAAATTGACCGTTGCAGAAGTGAATCTAGAAATAAATTGACAGCGCAGTGAATAGTGATTTAGTAACAGTACTGTAAATAAATAGAGTAATTTATCACCTAAGTTAGTTATAATTTAATAGTGTTTTTAAGTTCAATAATAATTAATGTAAATAAATAGATTTTGTCGTTGTGAGTCTTAAAAATTAATTTGTTAAACCCACGAACATAACAATACTATCAATCTTACATTTGTAACCATCTGTGAGAGAAAGGTCCAATGTGGAAAATAATTTATTGAAAAGAGACCAAAAATATATTAAAACAAAATAATTAATGCTTGTGTAATTCTTATTTCATGTATATATTATAGTTAGGACGGTTAAAATTGAAAAAGTCTACAATAAATTATTTGTGAGAATGGATTATATCTTCTTTCTTTTTCCATTTTGCGATTGATCTCCATAGTAATGGAATAATTTCTTGGTGAAATAGCAATCCCGTCGTTTCTAAACTATTACTAGACCTAGTGATGAAGGTGGTTCCGGTGTTGTTACTGGTTTTGATGAATTACATAGATTTAAGTTAAAAACTCACAAACTAGTCCATATATTAAGTGATTCACTGTTTTTTTAAATTGTTTACACTAATTTGAACAATAATAATTAATGGATATAACATAACGAATTTGTTTTTACACTGTTACTCATGTTTTACAAGTTATTGTAAATCCAGTTGGAATAGCTTGAAACTCTTGTGAAGACGGAGGGGGCAATAGTGATGCCACATGGTGAGACTCCCCACGAGACGATACCTACTTGGACACCGTCTTTGACCAATGGGCCACCAGAGTCACCACTGCAAACTCCTGCGTATTGTCTTCCACTGGTACAGATCATCGTTTCGTCCAATGGATTCGATGTTCCCAACACACTAACCAAATCTTCAGCGCACTCTACGGAGAAAGATATTTTTATTGATTACTACTACGTGGTGAAAGGTATTCTGCTTACCTTCGTTTGGTAGAACTTCTAGGTCGACGTATTGTAGTACGCTTGGGGCACCGGATATTATTCCTGACGTCCTTCCCCATCCAGAAATGACGACATCTCCAGATGTAGGGGCTCCTTGGCTAGGAAGTTCGATTGGTTGGACGGAAGTGGTAAATACGAACGGTGATGATACTATTATTAAAGCAACGTCCCATGGAGAGACAACACTACCGCTAAAGGGTCGAGAAATGAAGTTAGAATAAGCGTAACCAATAATAGTGGTAAGTAGGTATTTAATTAATTACCCAGGCCAGTTTTCGTGAACTACAATGTTGCTAGCACTTCTGCTTTGAGTAGCCGAGGTAGTTTCGACTCGATTCAGAAGTCCAGCCACAACTGTGTGGGTACCGTAGTCTTGGATACAATGGGCAGCCGTGAGTACCACCAAAGAACTAATGATACTAGCACCGCAGATGTGGGAGGCGGTTGAAAGGAAACCCCAGCGCAGGGAAATCTGGTAAGGGAATTGGTCTCTAACGGCTGCCTGACCTCGAATTATTCTGGTATCGTCGGATGGCAAAATTTCTACATCTTTTATGTATGCCGGATGGGGTGAATCTATTTTTTGTACGCTTGGTGCCCCTATTTAGATATAAAAGAACGTACTGTTATTACTGGAATAATGTAATGACATCCTTGAGTCTATTCTTTAATTAATTATACTGGCATTAGATAAAACGACTGATAAACTGATTTTGAAGGTAATCCAACTGGCGACTATTGTCAACAACAGATTTTGTTAGCTAGACGACTTTACTCCAAAACCAAAAACTTTTATTGTGTCTCAAAAAAAAAATAAATTAATTTTAATAAAACTTACCAACGACTAGGGCACACACAGAGCCTAAAAGTACTACGAGGAGATGCATTTTTTAATTGCCAAATTACTCAACCAAACGAGTGTACAAAGTCGAATCTTTCGACTCTTATTTATATGAGGGAAACTTATCTCAGCTTAAGTACAAGACAATTTACGTCTGCACTTGTAGATATATTTAATTAATATTTGATTAATCGTCTCGATAGCAATATGTCTTTTTTTTACTGGTTAATCCCATATGTCGTTGCAATAAAATATTTTTAGTATCTACAGGATTATGAAATGTCTGTAAATGAAGATTATGTACT